AAAAAAAAAAAAAAAAAAGAAAAGAAAAGAAAGAAATCTAAATGGCCACAACATGAAAATATGTCTGACTTCATCAGTAATTAAGGAAATGAAAATTAAAACTATAATAAGAAAAAGATTACACACAATAGCAAAACTTTCAGAAGTCTGGCAGGGTATAGTGGTGCATATCTGTAAACCCAGTACTCTGGGAAGCTGAGGAAGAAGGATCACAAGTTCAAACCCAGCCTAAACAACTGAGTGACTTAGCACAACTTTATCTCAAGAGATTTTTTTAAAAGAGCATGAGGACACTGAGCGTGGTGGCACAACCTTGTAATCCTGGGGGTGGGGCAGCGGCAGGAGGCTGCCACAAGTTCCAGGTCAGCCTGGGCTACATAATGAGTTCAAAGCTGGCCTGAACTACATAGTGAGACACTGTCTCAAAAAAAAAAATGAACAAAAAACCCCCAAACAAACAAACAAAACAACTGTGAGGATGTAGTTCATTGTGAAGGCCCTGGGTTCCATTCCTTCTACTATAAGAAAGAAAGGGGGGCAGAGAGAGAGAGAGAGAGAGAGAGAGAAAGTACTGCCATAATGATTTGGAAAAGTGACATTGCCAGGTATAGTGGCACATGCCTGTAAGCACAGCACTCAAGAGGCTGAGGCAAGAAGATCACTGCAAGTTGGAGGTCATTCTGGGCTACATAATGAGTTCAAAGCCAGTTTGAACTACATAGCAAGATCCTGTCCACCGCCTCTCAAAGTGGCATTAATCTAGAAGATATACAAATGAACAGTTCTAATATTAGGTAAGTTCATTACATAAATGTGTTCATTTGTGCATTATTACACATTTACATGAATGTTTATAGCAGCAGAATGCTATATACATCAATAAAAATGAAATGTACCAGAGCTGTACACAACATGGACAAATCTCACAAAAAATATTTAGAAATAAATGCAAATCACAAAATATATATATAGGAGCTGGGCACAGTGGCATGTGTCAATAGTCCCAGTTACTTGGGAAGTTGAAGTAGGAGGAACACATGAAACCAGGAGTTTAGACCAGCCTGAGAAACATAGCAAAAAAAAAAATCTTGTCTTAAAACAAACAAAAAACACATAGTATTTACTCCATTTACATCAAATTCAAAAAAACACTAAATTGTTTAAAGATATATACATTATCAGTACACTAGACATAAAGCAAGAAATGATTATCATAAAATCTAGGTGCGAGGTGTGGTGGCTTGGGATCATGCTTATGATCCCAGCACTCAGGAGGCTGAGACAGGAGAATCGTAGCGAGTTCGAGGCCAGCTTGGTCTACATAGTTTAAGACTAGCCTGAACTACATAGCAAGACCCTGTCTCAAAAAGCCAAAACAAACAAACAAAAAAATCTAGAGACTGGTTACTTCTAAAGGTGAGGAAGAAAGCTGTGATTGGAGGAAAACTTGTTTTGAGGTATAGCTAATGTTCTATTTCTTATTTGTTTCTAACCATTTTTTATTTTATTTTATTTTATTTGAGACAGGGTCTAGCTATGTAGTTCAGGCTGGCCTTGAACTCGGTATATAGTCCAGCTAGCCTTGAACTCATGGTGATCTTCCTGCCTCAGCTTTCTGAATGCTGGGATTACAGGTGTGTACCACCACCCCCAGCCTCCTAATCATTCTTTAAACACGTTTCTTGTACTGTAGTACTTATCTATGTCTCACAATAAAAAATACGTTTAAAAAATGTTCAGTCCTCATGAGATGTGACCTAGGAACAAGTCTCTAAGAATTTTTCTATTATCTTTCTTCAAATAAAAGGAAATTTAAGATGCCAAGACTCTGTTAATAGGGTTAGTGGTCAAGTTGCCTTGGCTAACAGAAATATAAACAACTGAAATAGTGTACAATAAGCAATTTTTTTTGGTACCGGAGATCAAATTCAGGACCTTGCACTTGCGAGGCAGGAATGGTGCCACTGAGCTAAATCCTCGGCCCTGTACAATAGGCATTTTAAAGTACAAAGTAATCTGAGTGTGGTGGCCATGTCTGAAATCCTAGCTACTGGGGAGGCTAAGGGGGAGGATCTCAAGTTCAGGACCAGTTTGGGCAGCATAGTGAGACCTCTAACAATAAATAAGTTAATAATTAAACAAGCAAGCATGTAATAATTATCAGATATTATTTAGCCATATATAGCCTATGCTAAGCTTATTCAAATTGAAGCCAAATAGGTGTGGTGGTGCACACCTGTGATCCCAGCACTCGGGAGGCTAAGGCAAGAGAACTGCTAGGAGTAGGAGAGCAGCCTAGGCTCCACAGTGAATACAAGACCAGCCTGAACTACATAGCAAGCAAGACCCAATGTCAAAAAAAAAAATTGGAGCCAGAGATTCTACTAGCCTAGAATCTACCACAAGTTTGTAGCTTTTAGCAGACTAAAAACTTAAGGCTAAAAATGAAATAAACCCTGGAGAAGCAACACACACTAATTTGAGAAATATTCCTATATATAGGGGGTTGTTGGCCATTAAGACATATCTGAGGTTTTTGGTGGGGAAGGAGGATAAAAAGGAGTTTATCTGCCTGCATTCATGACAGAAAGCCATGAGTTCTCATAACAGAAGATAAAGTATATCAAGTAAACAACAAATATTAACTAAGTGCCTATTACTGAAATCAAGAAAGATTTCACCTTCCTATGTATAACAAGATACAACATTCAAGGAAAAAATACGTATAACTTATTTTCTTGAGAAAACTATAATCAGCACAGTCATTGGTAATGAGGAAAACTCAAAAAAGCATAAGACACACTGGACATGGTGGTACATGCCTGTAATCCCAGCACTCATGAGGTTGAGGCAGGAGGATTGACCCAAGTTTGAGGCCAGCCTGAACCACATAAAAAGACTCTGTCTCAAAAAACAAAACAAAACTGAAAAAGGCTTA